TAGAGCATGCTTGTAATCTACTTAAGAGCAAGGACGGCTTAGGAATTGATTCCTTTTAGACTTTCTGTGGGCTTCCCTGGTAGCTTAGATGGTAAAGGATCTACCTGCATTGGAGAAGACCTGGATTCGATCTCTGGGTTGGGAAGATTCCCCAGAGAAGGGAATGGCAACCCACTCGAGTATTCTTGCCTGAAGAATTCCATGGACAGAGGGGTCTGGTGGGTACAGTCCATGGGGTTGCAAACAGTCAGTCACGACTGAGCGACTAACATGAGCTTCCCTAGTGGGAAGCTCAGATGGTAAAGTGTCTGCCTGCAATGCGGGAGCCCTGGGTTCAATCCCTGGGTTGAGAAGATCCCCTGGAGAAGGAAGTGGCAACCCACTCCAGTATTCTTGCCTGGAGAATCCCACGGATGGAGGAGCCTGGCAGGCTGGAGTCCATGGGTTCGCAGAGTCGACAGGGCTGAGCGACTTCTCTTTCACTTTCAGACTTTGTGTGTAGGGCTTCCCTGGTGGCTCAGCCGGTAAAGAATACGCCTGCAATGCGGGAGACCTGGGATGGATCGCTGGGAGAAGGGAACGGCCACCCACTACAATATTGTGGCCTGGAGAATCCATGTACAGTCCATGGGGTCGCAAAGAGTCGGACACGACTGAGAGACTTTGACTAGACGTCTCTAAAGGCCCACTGTGGGGCTTCCCCGGTGGCGCTAGAGGTAAAGAACCTGCCTGACTAATACAGGCAGACCTGAGACAGGGCGTTCGATCCCTGGGTTGGGAAGATTCCCCTGGAGGAGGAAATGGCAACCCACTCCAAAATACTTGCCTGGAGCATCCCATGAACAGAGGAGCCTGGCGGGCTCCAGTCCTGGGGTCGCAGAGTCCAACAGGACTCCAGCGACTTAGCACGCACACCCAAAGGCCCACTCCGCCGCCTTGTCCTCAGGGACGCAGTACACTTCAGTGAGATGGAATTAATAGCGTTAGGTCTGCCAAAGCCTAGTGTAAGAGCTAAACGCTGGTTCTCCTCATCTCCGGCCCCCACCCCGGCCAGCCCTGAGAGCCCATCACCTCTGGGGCTGAGGCGCAGTGGGGGAGGCGAGACCGAGAAGGAGTCTGGGGTCGGCCCCCAGCTCAGCCCGCCCCGCTGTGAGGCCGAGAGAGCGCCGCTTCTCCCGAGGACCGCCTTCCGTGTCCGCTGGCTGAGAGAGAGGCCTGGGGCTCCGCGCGGCGGTTCCCGGCCCCGGCTCAGGGTAACCAGTTGCGACCGAGCCCCAGGCTGCGTCCTCGGAGGCAGCCTCTATTCAGAAGACGACGGAGGGCGGGGGCCGTCCCGGGGTTCTGGAAATATCTGCGATTTTGTCGACTTGTTGAAGGGGGGAAAAAATTACAAAAAAATCCTGTCAGTGTCAAAGTGCCAAGCTGCCGCTCAAGGCCGTTTTGCTTCCGCCCAGGAATTAACACACCAACTGGTGTGCTTTAAAAAGTTTTACGTCACGTGTTTGGGGTATGGGTGGGGCAGCCCTGAGGTAAGCGGACCCCGCTCAAACCGCACCCTCGTCTGCAGGGGCTCTAGCCGGGCCCTTTAAGCGTTCCCTCCGGCGTCTGCCCGAGCCTGTCCTCTCTCCTTGAGCGTCCGTTCGGAAACGCAGCGGCAGGGCGAAGGGTTCCGGCGCCGCCGAGGCCGCCGGTTGCCCGGGCAACGCCGCCTGCTCTTCTGGGAGCGCGACGTCGAAGCCCTCGGCGCTGCTGGCCTCACGGGCTCGTTGAGCGTCTGGCTCACGTCTTTATCTCAGGATGGAGTTCGAAGCCTCGTCCCGCTCCTCCTCAGGGCTGTGGCGCCGCCTCGGGGAAGGCTCACCGCCTCTAGGCGTCCCCACCCAGAGACGGGCGCGGGCCGGGCTTCTTAGAGCTGACAGGCTTCTGCTTGGTAACCCGGTCACCGGCGCGTGTAGAGTCTTACAGTTTGTTTATAAATAAATCGAAATGGTGACGTAAATATTTGTAAACTGGGAAGTTCTGCAAATTCCTGTTAAGTGTTCACCTCATTTGAACCTCACAGCTGCCACATGTGACAGAGGATGATTCCATTCGGGTTCGGCGTTAATTTGCCTAATTGGGACTTGAACGTAGCTCTTTTGGAGGTTTTTTGTTTTTTTTTTTTTAATTTGAAAAAAAAAATTTGAACATAGCTCTTTTGAAGGGGGTTTTGGTTTTTTTTTTTTTTTTTTACAAATCACTTAAGGGCTAAAGATACAGTTGGAGTATTAGGGAGCCGAAAAGAGTTAACTATGAAAAAAAAACCTAAAANCCCCCCCCCCCCCAAAAAAAAGAAACCTGCAGGCTTCTTCCACCGAATTTTGCTCCTTATTTCTAAGCTACTATAAATGCATGCTGGCTGTGTTTTCTCAAAGTACCTCCCTGGCCAGGATAATCTGTAGCTTCCCTGCTGGCTCAGATGGTAAAGAATCTGTCTGCAATGCGGGAGACCCAGGTTCCAGGCTTGGGTGGGGAAGATCCCCTGGAGGAGGGCATGGCAAACCACTCCAGTAGTCTTGCCTGGAGAATCGCCTGGACAGAGGAGGCTGGAGGGCTGCAGCCCCAAAGGGTCGCGAAGAGTTGGACACCACTAAAGAGGTTTAGCACATAGGCACTAGGATAATCTGAGTTGAGCCTGTGAGCCCCTCTCTCTGTGAGGAAGGAATGAAACTGAACAAAGAGACCTTTTCTTGGGAATGCCCCTTAAAAGAATTAACAATGCCTGAGATGGTTGGATGGCATCACCGGCTCAATGGACATGAGTTTGAGCAAGCTCTGGGAGTTGGTGATGGACAGGGAGGCCTGGCATGCTGTAGTTCATGGGGTCTCAAGGAGTCGAACACCACTGAGTGACTGAACTGAGATTAGGTTTTCCTTACACATGTATTGACTTATTTGGCTGTGCCAGGTCCTAGGTGCAGCATGCATGATCTTTTAGCTGCCATGTGTGGGATCTAGTTCCCTGGCTAGGGATGGAGCCCCGGACCCCTGGGTTGGGAGTATGGAGCCTCAGCCACTGGATCACCAGGAATATCCCCACAGTGTCCGAGTTTTGAAAATGTTTATATGTTCTCCCAAAATGGAAACCAAAATGAAACAGGAATGCATGTTGGCCATCTGCGTGAAGACGCCATCTTGGAAATGGATCCTTTCAGCCCCCAGGCATCCGGCAGATACCTAGGCCAATCCTGCCCAAATTCTTGACCCACAGAACTGGCAGCAAGATAAAATAGTTGTTTTAAGCCGCTTAAAAAAAAAAAAGGAAAAAAGAAAAAAGGAATGCATTTTGGAGTGTCCAAGTAGTTCTGACCTTCTGGTATTGATCCCACATGCGTCGTCCTGATGTAGCAGAGTTTACCGACTTCATTCATTTGTTCAGCATTCAGTGACTCTTTTGCACGAGCGTGCCTGCATGCTGAGTTACTTCAATAGTGTCCAACTCTTTGCAACAGCGACCTTTTGGACAGTAGCCTGCTAGGTTCCTCTGTCTACGGGATTCTCCAGGCAGGAAGACTGGAGTGCCTCCTCCAGGGGATCTTCCCGACCCAGGGATTGAGCCCGAGTCTCTTACGCCTCCTTCATTAGCAGACCGGTTCTTTACCATCTGAGCCACCAAGGGAAGCCCTTTGTTTTCCAGAGGTCAAGCCAAATTTTGAGACATGTTTCGGTTTGAATTCTGGTTTCTGCATCCATTTAGTTGTTTAACCTTAGGTGAGGAATGTGACCTATCTGAGCTCTGGTTCCCTCATCTTAACCACGGCGTAACAGTGGTCCCTAACACTCGGAGTGACTGTGTGATTTACTGTGCATGCAAAGCCGTAGCTCCGATAACTCTAGTCTGTTACAGTAATCATGGGGTTTTCCTGGAAAAGCCCTAACCCAGTCTGCAGCACGTTGTGGCGTCCTCAAGCATCCACATAATGTCTTGCATTTAAAATGCTATGTAAGGCCTGTGAAGAAAAGGGCTCTAATTAGACCCAGGTCTCTTCTGGTCTTTGGCTTCCTGGTTCTGGAGTAAGAAAAAGATGGAAAAGCTAGTTATTTCACTTAAATGCCTATGTTACGGTCTCAACTGGGAAATCCCGCTGCTTTATAGTTTATGAAAAGTCAGCAATAGATAAACTGTCCCCCTGGTGAGCATCCCATCATTTCATCAGTCAGTATTAAAGACGTATTAAGGGCCAAGCACTTTGAAAAACACCCTGATGCTGGGAAAGATGGAGGGCAGGAGGAGAAGGGGGTGACAGAGGGTGAGGTGGTTGGATGGCATCACCGACTCGATGGACATGAAAGGGAGGGGTAAGTTGCTCGGTCATGTCCATCTCTTTGTGACCCCATGGCCTGTAGCCCTCCAGGCTCCTCTATCCATGGAATTCTCCAGGCCAAAATGCTGGAGTGGGTATCATTCCCTTCTCCAGGGCATCTTCCCAGCCCAGGGATTGAACCTAGGTCTCCTGCGTTGCAGATGAATTCTTTACCAGCTGACCCACCAGGGAAGCCCAATGGACATGAGTCTGAGCAAACTCTGGGAGCTGGTGAGGGACAGGGAGGCCTGGCCTGCTGCAGTCTGTGGGGTCACAAAGAGTCAGACACGACTGAGTGACCAAACAGCACCTAGGTACTGGGAGCTCAGCCTGGCGTCGATACCAATAAGAAATAGGCACAAGGCCCGTGATGATGAGGGCAGCAGGAGGTGCTGTAGACATTAGGGAGAGGCAGGGGAGGGAAGGCTTCCTGGGGCGAGTGATGTCTGAGCTGGGACCCGAAGGATGGGGCGGGCTGGTCCAGTCTGGGGCTGGCGAAGACTGTCCCCACGTGGCCAGAGACAGAAGGCAGGTAATCTACCTGACAGCTGAGGGGGGAGAGGTAAGGCTGCAGACCAGGGGCCACCCCATGCGGGGTTCTTAAGGTTTGGGGCTTGTCCTGCAAATTAGGAAGTTAGTGAAGAGTTTTTATTTTTTAACTTTATTAAAAAATTGTTTTTTTTTTTTTTTTGGCCACACTGTGAGGCATGCAAGATCTTAGTTCCCAGACCAGGAGTCAGACCCGCACCCCCGGCAGTAGAAGCATAGCGTCTTCACCCCTGGGCTGCCAGGGAAGCCCCGGTGCAGAGCTTTTAAACACTCAGGTGGTGTGATTGTTTTCACAAAGCCGTGCCGCCTCTGGAGAACATGATTAGAGAAGAGTGGTTGTGGCGCAGACGGGAGTCCCCGTGGATTTGGATGGGGCTGAGGAGAAGCGAGCCGAGTCTGGAGATGTGGAGGGACTTTCCAGGGTCCAGGTGGATCCTGAGGTTTCCGGTAAATGGTGCGTATCGCCCCCGAGGGAAGACACACAGAAGGAAGAGCAGGTCGGAGGGGAGTTGGCGGAGGTGTGTGGGCCATTCACTTCCGACGTGCTGAGTTTCAGGTGCCAGCTGGAGATGCCGAGCAGGCGGAGCATCTGGGTCTGGAGCTCAGGTGAGAGGGACCTTAGCAGGAAGCGAGGTGCAGCGGCCCGAGAAGGGGAAAGTAAACCAGAAGAGCCCGCCTCAGTGACTGGTCCTGCCTACTTGCATTTATTTAGTCCCATCTTTTTTGTTCCCTTTACCCATTTTTCCTTTTTTCCTATTTTTTTTTTTTTTTTTTTACCCCTGTGATTTCTTCCTCATGCACCTGGTCTGCCTGTAACCACTAGAGTCAATTTCTTGAACTGTGGTTTATTTATTAGTTACAGTAAATTAACTATGGTTAATTTATTAAGACATGAAGAGTCCTTTATAAGCACAGGTTGAACTGAACCCACAGACATTTCTTTGCTTCTCTGTGAGTCAAGAAGCCCAGAGAAGTTGCCATCCCTTGTTTGAGATGATCAGACTCAGAAACAGGCAGCTTCATCTGGCTGTGGGTATATAGTGAGAGTGTTTTTAACAGAAAGGAAGAGTGCTCTAGGTGGGAACAGGTGTGATCCCTAGAAAATGTCTTGCCCCCGGACAGGCTGTCCCACCATTTCCAACATTTTAGTACAGTCATGGTCAGAAAGCCTAAGAATACTGGAGTGGGTAGCCTCTCGAGTGGGTGCCAGAAGGTATCCCTTCTCCAGCGATCTTCCCAACCCCAGAATCGAACCGGGGTCTCCTACATTGCAGGCTTCCCTGACGGCTCAGCTGGTAAAAAATCCGCCTGCAATGTGGGAGACCCGAGTTTGTTCCCTGGGTTGGGAAGATCCCTGGGAGAAGGGGATGGCTACCCACTCCAGTATTTTGGCCTGGAGAATCCCATGGACTATTCCATGGGGTCGCAAAGAGCTGGACATGACTTTCACTTTGTTTTTTCTATTATGACAGTTATAAGGAGAGTAATACCATTATAATGCTATACCTGGCAGTTTGATCTGTAGGGTGGTATTTTATTTCTTAAGCTGAATGTGTGATTAAATGATGTTTGTCAGCCTTCGTAGTTTTTTTTGACCATGTGAGATATTTGATAGTACATTAAGGAACTAAAAACTAAAAGGTTAATATATTTATATCCAGTGTAGTTAACGTGCATTGTCAACTTTTTCCTGAACCCACCGTATTTGAGCTGTGAAAAGTGGCTTTTTAAAATGGGGCGGGGGTAGGGGGAGGATTGCTGCAGGAAAACATTGCTGTTCGTGATAGCAACAGCCTCTCGGAGCTGTTGAAATTCCTTGCATGTCATTGAGTTTCATAGCACTGTTTTAAGAGAGGCTGTCAGAGTCTTCACAGAATGTAAGGGGAATTAGGAAAACTTTCTAATTATGAAAGTGTGTGTTACCAGGGTTTGATGGAGGCGGTGAGACAAGAGCGTGTCACCCATGGGACAATGTGTCTGAAAGAATGTTACAGTCTAGAGTGAGGTGGTCAGACCCAAAGACCTGTTTCAGAGCGTAAGCTGTGTGTTACCCCAGCTCACTGGGAATTTGTAAAACCAGGATGCTAGTCCTGTATGATGAGATGCAGAGTTCCGGTATCTCATCTAAGTTATGAAGAGGGCTCCAAGTCTGCGTGCCCTCTGGCTAGGCCAGGATCTCCCTGGAGGCAGGCCGTCTGGGAGCCAGAGCAGACAGGACATTGCTCGGCGAGCGTGGAATCAGAGAAGAGAATTTGCCCGGAAAGCCTTGCGTATATCTTCACACGGGGAGCGGCCGTGCCTCCAGGACAGGACGAGCTGCTCCAAGTCTCGGTGTCCCATCTGGGGCGGCGCTGCCTCTGTCGGCCTCTTGAGAAGGCCAGCCTGTTTAGCGACTGGTTGAGACGTTTGCCAGTTGGGTTGGAAACCCCTGGGTTTGGGTCCCAGTGTTGCCACCTACCAGTTGTGTGCTCTTGGACCAGTTACTTAATTTTCCAAGCCCAGGGGTTTTTCATCTGTAAGTTGGGGATGCTAATATTATCTCTTTAACAGGGGTTGTGAGGATACAATCTTAGATAGAAAACTTAGCAGAGCACCTGGTATTCAGGAAACTCTCGGTAAGTGTTATTCTTCAGCACCATCTTTGGTATTTGTGACTCCCATTTCCACACTATGCTGGCTGACCTCTTCAAATTAACTCTTTTCTTTCTTTTGTAAGTATCTTTGCTTCTTTTACTAAGAGAATACATGTTTGTTTTATGAAATGTTCTTATATTAATAGTACAAATAAGTATAGTGGCCATTGGTAATGGTACTTCTTACCTTACTAAACAGAATTTTAGTATTCCACTGTAGTTTAGCAGTTATATTGGAACCTCTGTTTTCATGCCAGTGGTAATTAATTTGTACAATGTCACTGCCCACAAATAGAGCTTCAGTAGGTCTTTACTTCTCTGTTTCTTCCCTCTTGCTCTCAAACTAACCTCTAGGATTTAAACAGACAAACAAAAATAATGAAATTTTGACTTAAGGTTTATATTTTTTCTCTAAGGCATGTTTTTCTCAGGAATTCTTTTAAATCTTATATTACATTTGGTAATCACATTTTAATTGTGCTATCATGGGTTTTAATTAAGACTCATTGCACAATATTATTTATTTTCTTAAAAATTGTTTTTATTCATTTATTATCTCAGTTGTGCTGGGTCTTCGTTCCTGTGTGCGGGGTTTCTTTTTCCTCTAGTTGTGGCGAGCTGGGCCTCCCCTCCAGCTGGTCCAGGCTTCTCCCTGCTTGTGGTGGCTTCTCCTGCTGCGGAGCGCGGGCTCGGTGGTTGTGGCTCCTGGGCTCTGGAGCTCAGGCCCGAGGGCTGTGGCGTGAGGCTTGGCTGCTCTGCCATGTGTGGAGTCTTCCCGGGTCAGGTGTCTTCCCGTGTCTCCTGCACTGGCAGGAGGATTCTCCATCACTGAGCCACCAGGGAAGCTCCCTTTCTGCAGCTTCTTGCTCAGTATACTGCCCTTGCTCCATATGCTTTTAATACTTTTGTGTGTGTGTTTTCATTCATTGATACACATTCATTGAAACTTACTAGGCACTCTGCGCCAGGGGCCTGTGCCTGGTGTTGCAGTTTATGGCGTTTCGGAGGACCCAGCAGAACTGGTTTCTACCCCCCGACCCCCACCCCCACCCTCACGGCACCTCACATTCATATGATCCAGCTATTCTGCTGCCTGGTGTATGTCTTAGTCCACTCAGGCTGCTCGAACGAAATATCACAGATGGCATGGCCCATAAACACAGAGTGACTTCGCACCCTTCTGGAGGCTGGGGGTCAAAGGTCAAGCTGTCAGCTTGTCCAGCTTCGCTGAGAGCTCTATCTTCTGGCTGGCGGCTAGCTGGTGTCTCACTCTGTCCTCACACGGCAGAGAGCAGGGGAAATGTCATTTTTTTATACCATGTCTTTCTTTATCTTAATGTTCTTATTCAGCTTAAATTTGCACTTGGTTGGAGTTTTTAAGTTTTTAGATCTCCAGTTAGGAAAATAGGAAATTTTTTAAATCCTAGAAACCTTTTGGGGGCTTCCCCAGTGGTCCAGTGGTTAAGACTCTCACTGACAGGTCTGGGTTGGATCCTGGTAAGGGAACTAGGATCCCGCAAGCCCTGTGGCATGGCCAAAAAAGAAAAAAACCTGGAAACCTTTCGAAGATAACGTTTTATGCTTCTGCTATGATACATTATGTGTTAATTTTATAACTTAAGTTTTAGAGGGCAGTTTTCTTTCAACTGTTTGTGAATATTTTGTGTAGAGGGAATAAGGATCCCCATTGTTTTCTGCATGTATAGCATAGATACATAACTTTTCTAAATAACAGTTTTGAAATGCATACTAAGCACCCCTAAGGTTTTGTTGAATAAGTTGAAAAGTCTAGCAAAACTTAGAAGTTCTTATTATGGCCTCTCATTTTTAAATTATAATTTGATACTTGGTTACTTTGTTCTGATTTATCACAGATACTCAGAAAATGTTTTTAAAATTGTATTTGAAATGCATCACACACATGCCAAGTTTTTATTCCTTGGAACGTAACCTCTATCCTAGTCGGACTGTTGTCTCACCAGTGTCTGAAATGGTGCTTCTGCTTTCTGGTGTGGGCTGCCCCAGTGTCTCAGCGGTAAACAACCCACCTGCAGTGCAGGAGACAGCAGGCTCGACCCCTGGGTTGGAAACATCCCCTGGAGAAGGGAACGGCAACCCACTCTAGAATTGTTGCCTGGGAAATCCCATGGACAGAGGAGCTTGGCTGGCTACAGTCCGTGGAGTCACAGAGAGTCAGACATGACTAGGGGAATAACACAACCTCCACCACCTTAGAGTATGTGGTTGCTGAATCAGTGTCTACTTAGTTTTAAAAATAAGGTTCTTGTTTTGAGTTTAGACTGATAAGCAGAGATCACAGTTCAGTTAAGTCAGCCTTTGTTTGCTGTATGATTTTACTTCCTGGAGAGAGTTGAACATTTACAGAGTTTGAGCGGAGGCAGCAGAGAACCTCACGGAGAAGGCGATGGCACCTCACTCCGGTACTCTCGCCTGGAAAATCCCAGGGACGGGAGCCTGGTGGGCTGCAGTCCACGGGGTCGCTGAGAGTCGGACATGACTGAGCGACTTCACTTTCCCTTTCTTGCACTGGAGAAGGAAACGACAACCCACTCCAGTGTTCTTGCCTGGAGAATCTCAGGGACGGGGAGCCTGGTGGGCTGACGTCTGTGGGTCACACAGAGTCCGAAGTGACTCAGCAGCAGCAGCAGAGAACCTCTTTTCTTTACTTTTCTCTTTTTCACTCTGGGATTCTTCTGAAACACTTAGAGTGTGTGTTTCAGAGGCTGTCTGGGGTGAGATTGCTCTGTCGGGAATGGCAACTTCTCTGCTGAGCTTCAAACCGATTCTTCTCACAGTGTTTCTGGCAAATGCGGACAGTTTTTGGCTGAGGGATTTGTTGGAATTGAAGAGGAATCGAGCGTTTAATACAAACCATTACTCTCAAGCGCTACTTTAGAAAGTGTTCTTGGCCATCAGAGTGTTTTATTTTAAATTAGCGTCTTAGGTATTCCA